CTCTGGACATGTCCAAACCACTGTCCCTGCTCTGAACATGTCCAAACCACTGTCCCTGCTCTGGACATGTCCAAACCCCTGTCCCTGCTCTGAACATGTCCAAACCACTGTCCCTGCTTTGTCAAGCAGGAGCAGCACTTCTTTAAAAGCTCTGGAAAACGGAAGCATGACGCAGCAGTAACTGAATGAAACGTTTGCCAGTTCAATTGTAATCTTAAGTGTTCTTAAGCTTTGCTACACTTTGCTGTCTTGAGCAGTTTGACATGAATTGGCCAAGTCACTGAGGAGAAAATAGATGCAAATACACACATGAAGCTCTCTATAGCCTCTTATCCACAGGGCTTTTTCGGGCTCCTATGTAACCAGTTCGGGCCGATTGCGTAGTTTCTCCACAGCGCCTTCAGCGGTGGAACCCGCACGATTTTTGGGACCTGTTTCTCTGGGGTCCCAGGTCTGATTCTTGTTGGGTCCAGAGGTGATGTCAGAACACTGTCGGTAACTGATTGGTCAGGGGGAGGAGTCACTGGATCTTTCAGAAACTTTTCAAAACACCAATCCGCCATTTGCAATTTCTCGGACCGGAGCAGTGGCTGGATCTATTTTAAAGATTTAAAAACAATAATGACAACACCGTGGCCTAATGCTGAAGTGCTGGCATTTTTTAGTTTTTTTTTGTGCTTGTTGGCCGACGACAAAATTCAGAGCGAGCTAGATGGAGCTCCGCCAGTCTACCCGGGTCCTCTCCACCGGAGCGTCTGAGCCGGGCAGGGCGTCATCTCCTCGAGCTAAAAGTTATCTGTGTAAGTAAGTAAAAAGCACTATTTACTGTTACCTTTTTTTAGTTGAAAACTGCATAAATGGTGAAAGTCTGTTTTTTATATATATATATATATATATATATATATATATATATATAATTATATTATATATAATTATATTATATATTATTATTATATATTATTATATTATTAATTATATTATAATTAGATTAATGTTTATATGTGATGGGAGACTGCAACGAAGCCAAGATTCATCTTGTCTGCTGGATTCCTTAGATAGAGAACTTTACTAATTGGCTTTTATGTGAATGTTCCTGTAAAGTGCCCTGAGACAACTTTGTTGTGATTTGGAGCTTTATAAATAAACTGAATTGAATTGAATATGTGTCATTTTTCACCACTTTTATTGTCTGTCCAAACAGATCTCACTTGTAAATGAGTCTTTGAGGCTCAGTGTGACTTATCTGTTTAAATAAAGGTTGAGTGAATATGTATCAACAAATATAAAGTTCTTTCAGTTTTTATTGAAACAAAAATGTTAGAGTAAAGAGTTCCAAAAAATCTACAGCGGCTACAAAAAGCAGTTCATGATGGAATTTTTACATGACCCTTTATGTAATATATGTGTGTGTGTGCATGCGTGCGTGCGTGTGTGTGTGTGTGTACATAAAAAAGGAGAAAAAGCCACAGGCAAAGCAGAATGTTCAAAACAGAAACGAGATCATCCATTTTGGTTGTGTGCTCTTTTCCATCTCTTCTTCTTCTAATACGTGTTAGTGGTGGTTAGTAAAGAGCTTAATGTAGCACTAGCACCATCAGCTGGTAAGGCGTGTTGATATTAATGATCCGCCCACTAAAGGTTAACTATACGCCCACTAAAGGGGAACTATGGGCACTGCCGAGACAGAAATAAACCGGTCCCACCGGAACCGGACTGAATAAGGCACAATAGGGTCCTACAAGAACAGGACCTGTGGATAAGGGGCTTATGAGCCACTGAGAACTGCAAGAGTGGAAAGTGAGTAAAACCTTTGTAAAAAAAATTGCTGTGATTATCCTCAAAACAGCATGCAGAACTAGAGGCTGGGTGAGGCTTTCAGCAGAGGTCCGGCACACACATTGGACACACACATCTCTCTGTGCTTGTGTGATTGAGAAACACTCACACTTGTTAAAGAACAGCACAGCATTCCCCAGTTAACAGAATAGAAGCTATTAGAGCTCGACTGATATATCGGTAGGGCCAATATTTTAGGCCGATACAGACATTTGGGGATATATTGATATCGGTGATAATTGTCCCATTATGCGTTGATATAAATACTTCTAATTTTCACCCCTAAAATTCTGGAACCAGCTGTAATTGTACAATGTATCCTGCAGAGGGTAGGGATGCACCGATCCACTTTTTCCACTTCCGATACGGATCCAATACAGAAAAACAGTGCTGAATTCCGTTCAACAAAACTCAGCATGCTCTTTAGGGTGAAATCTCTGAAGATGCTTGATTAAGTTGGTAGTGTTATAACTGGAAGTTTTAGTGACACTCCCTGGAACCGTCGCTGTGCACGTATTGCACGTAGCGGTCGAATGTGTTGATTGAGGCAGTGTGAAATAGTTCCAAATGGCTGATCCTTTCGCTCGCTCCATTTTGAAAACAATCTGTGCGGTGATTTCGATAACACGTGATGTCACTCAGAGCACAAAGCATAGAATTAGAGTGAAGAGATCTGCCCAGTCATGGATCAGCCACATTGTCACCGATACCCAATCCAGAAGTTTTTTTTTTTTAAATATATCGGGGCCGATACAGATATTGGTATCGGATCGGTGCATCTCTAGCAGAGGGAGCATTAAGATTACTTTCCAGTCTTGGCCGTTCATTTTAAGTTTCACAATGTCGTTCAGCACAGCTGAAGCAGGGAGCAATACTGTGTGACATATTTTACTGAACAGAGCATGGTAAGTTTAATTTAACTGATCTGTAAAACAAATCAACAATAATTCTCTTCAATCTTCCAACACACTTGTCATTAGTTACGTGCCTCTCAAATTAGCAAGCTAACATTTAGATAACCTAGCATAGGCTATAGCCTTGTAAAACTTTATTTATTTATTTATTAACTTTGGTTTCTCCCTTTTTCAGAGGTCGCCAGAGCAAAATAAGTCGCACGAAGACTTGGCAACTTTAAAACTTGTAAAACTTTTTCCAGAACAATAAATCTAACAGAGGTAAAATATAGCAGTGTTAGTAAAGTTATCTTTGTCGTCCTCAATGAAATGCATTGTTTGTCTGAAATCTTTACTTCTCTGCGAAGAAAATACTCTGCTGAAATCTAAACTAATTAGACCTTCACCATACTGTATGTGACTGACTGTTTAAAAAATGAACAGGGAAGGTGTTTATTTAATTTATATTTTTGTAACACACTTGATTATATCGGTTATCGGCGGTCGCCTAAACCCCCCAATATCAATATCAGCAATAGCCAAAAATTACATATCAGTCGGGCTCTAGATGCTGTATTTACATGTGTTTTTGTTGTTAATTATTTATAGTGTTTCACATCATGAATTGTTACAAAAATTTAACAGTTACTTTAAGTTTTACCACTTCAGATAATCCTGCCTCAGTGATAGTCAAGCTGCTTTAGGGTCATTTGCATACTGAACTGTGATTGGCTGTTTAATGGGAGGAGGGTCTCTGCTAACTGCAGACAGTAGATACAGCATGGAGCAGAGGGGAGAGACAGATGATAAAGTTTGTGTCTTTTTCAGCAGATTTGATTTAAGGAGGCATTGCCACTCTTGCCCCAGTATACAGCCAGCCTCACTCCAGACCAGCAGTGCCCAATATGTCGATCGCGATCTACCGGTTATTCTCAAAAGTTATTATGCATGCATTATTATGATTGCATGGCAAAAAAAAAAATAGATGTCTGCCTATCATCCATCTATGAAATTTGTCACTAGACTGGCAGACAGGGCAGACAGTCTGAGGCCCCTTTTTTCACAACGTGAAACGTTCGGCTGTTCATTTACAGACAACAGCCCTCATTCTCTCTGAAAATGAAGGTTTTTGAAACCAGGTCTCAGGGGACCCCCACCCCCCACAGAGGTGTGCAATGCTCCAAGTGTGAAGTCCCACATGTGCACTACAGGTGAGAAGGGGTCCTCTGCAGTCCAAAATTGGGCGTTTCTGGAGAATAGGCATTTGTAGAGGACAAACACTGATTGGCTAACTGTATTTGCTGTTCTATTTCGTATAGGCTTAGCCCTTTAAGGCTATCGCTAGTGGGTTTATCCCTTCGCGCGCAGCACTGAAAACTTTAGTCCACGTCCACCTACTGTGTGGGCCTCACCCCCGGTCCATATAAATTATGGTGAGACCGGGTAATCGGCTCCCATTTTTTCTTCAGCCAGCTAGCAAGCTCCGTCAGAAGAACGAAGAAGGAAAAGTTGTCCAGCTTTGACCGGCACAACCTTTGCTGAAGATGCCTGGGTCTCCGCCACGCCAACCTTCTTCCGTCCCGGTGAGCTAT